AAAATGAAACTCATCATTTGATCTCACGAACGAGGCCTTTTCATGCGAAAAGGATCTCATTTTTGTGATCAGTATGTCAAATAAGCCCTACAGGCCAAGTTTCAGCAAAATTTGATGCATTCTAAAATTTTTCCCATAGTACCGTAAATAAACCTACCGTAATCCTCACATAAGGTGGTAAAATTTGGCAAAAATGTGTGCATTAGAAGCTTACATCATATTCCTTAACTTGCCAAAAAATGAATATGCTACGTTTAAATAGACAAAAGTTATATAAAAAGTTGCATTACTTGTGCCAACCTAATAATATAACAACGAGGTAAAGACTAGTCCCAGACGAAGGCAGTCGGTCATGAAAAGAGGCGACGCGAGCGTGTAATGAATTTTTGTCGTCGGTAAACAAAAGAGTGTTTGTTATGCTTCCTTTGCGAATTGTTCCTTGACAATTCATGAACTGAGCCACTTGCATTATTTTTTTGATTGCTTTCTCGCCTGACATTCTTTTTATCACTGAAACCTGGTTGTCGCTCAAGGTGAGCGATGCCAAATTCTTTCTGATCTACCGTATGTGATCTTCCATTGTGATCGCGCGGGGAAGAAGGGTGGCGGTATTTGCATTCTGATAAAACCAATTCTCCTTTGTGACACAAATGAAGTGAATATCCAGGAAAACTTCGAACTTATTTCGATTGATATCTACTGTAAGAGAGAACGATATCCCACGGTGGCATATGCAGAGTTGACATATCTCTACAATCAGCATAGCTGAGAACGATCTGATAACGGTTGCCAACCGATATATTATATGACAGATACATGAGACTGTAGAGGGGGGACCCCGAGAACGCTGCGGAGCGGTGCGCTCAACTCCAGAACTCGCCTTCATCAACCGCTGCTGTTTATCAATGCTAATAACTGTTACATACGTGGGCCCAGCTCTTACTGGTAGCAGCGAGTGGTAATATCTGAGTAGGCGTTTGGAGGTAAAGGCGATTTTTCTAATCAATTTTTCAAATGACTCATTTTTTTACATTATCTCCTTCCTCGTCTCGACAATTACCAGATCCGAAGGGTAGTTTTGGACACAACAAATTTACGAGTCATATAAAGCGTTTCCTCATAAGCCAATATTCTCCCTGAGGGTCGTGGACCCAGATTCAGATGACTATAACCAGGATTACAAGACAGTCGGCTCTTCTCTGTGAAGATTCTTAGATCCTATCTTTACAAGAGGCTCTGCTTCTGTTAATTGTTTGGACACTCGAATCCAATGTCCCTGAAAAAGACGAACAAATTTTGTCAGGACAAACTCTCAAAAAGTCCTTCATGGAGGGAACCATATCCCACGGTGGCATTATGCAGATGTTGACATATCTCTACAATCAGCGTAGCTGAGAACGATCTTATAACGGTTGCCAACCGATATATAACAGATACATGAGACTGTAAAGGGGGAGGGGAACCGAGAACGCTGCGGATCGGTACGCTCAACTCCAGAACTTGCCTTCATCAACCGCTGCAGTTTATCAATGCTAATAACTGTTACATACATGGGCCCAGCTCTTACTCTACCAACCATGCTTGTTATCTAAACTACGAGGTTGAACCTAACGAACCAAGCTCTAAATGCGAGGCGATGTCATCTTAGACCTTGTTCTAGCCAACTTTCAGTCAGTCAGATATTTATCCGTCAAACCGCCCTTTGCATCTTGACCACAATATGATTGAATTTTAATACAACTCTATCGTCCCAAAAAGTGACCTCATCCCATACCCAATTTTTTCCGAGATCGATTTTGAGTCTATGAAAAGTGAGCTAAGTGGCATCGATTGGGAAGCAATGTTTAACTTATACTAAGACCCATCCGATATATACTATAGATTCTGCTGCACCATGTATAATCTTTCGTCAAGATGTACTCCACTTAATGTCAAGAATATTGTACACCTGATGTGAGGTACCCCAGACACATCCAGTCACTCCTCTTACAAAAAGAAAGACTTTTCAACACGTTTTATTACAACGGTTCATTGTATAGGAAAGTGTGCTCGGATATTGCTTTTCATCTCAGAAAGTTTTTGGCAAATCACGAAGAGCGCCTAGCATCGTCTAAACATTCCAAAAACTCTTTTCTTACATCTATCATAAGACGCATACTATAAATTATAGTACCTTGAAAGACGCGTTGGATAATACTTGCTTAACTAATCAGTGCAAAGCGCAAGCTTTAGCTGAATATTTTTCAAGTGCATTTTCCTTGGCCAACTCAAACATGATAGCATTGGGTCCATCTCTGAACTATACATGTTCTAACCCCATGATCACGCCTTATGTGGTTGAAAGCTTCCTCAGAAGACTAAAAGTCAATTTTTGAGCTTGTTGACGGCATACCACAAATTGTTCACAAATGTTGCGCCAAAAAACTTTCTATACTTTCTAAACTGCTTTCCCATATCTTCACCATTTCTCTCCTATGTGGGCAAATACTAGAGATTTGGAAAGAAGCTATCGTTACAGCGGTTTAGAAAGTTCCAAAACCTCGATCTGTGACAGAGTTTAGACTTATAAGTATAAACTTTATGCCATGTAAAATCCTTGAGAAAATACTCCGTGACAAACTTCCCCCTTGGTTTCCACTGTAACACAGCTGATCGATTGTAGCCATGACCGGATCGAGGCTGTACTTGGTGTGATGTGATATATTTCGATTTAACTAAAGCTTTCGACCGCATAAGTCATGTGACTCTATATGCTGGAGCATTATGGAATTAGATGAAACCTATTAAAAATGCTTAGGTCTCATCTTCACTCGAGATATATGACTGTTCGTGTTGGCAAAGAACATTCTGATCTCTTCCATGCATGAGCGGGCTTCCTCGGAAGGTGCTCTCTCACCCCTTCTTTTCATTATTCATAAAGCGGTAGAATACTGAGAACTCATCCTGATGTTCATGTGTTGTGTTACGCCGACGACATAAAAATCTACGGCGCTTACAACATCGAAAACCGCACAATTGTTAAAGATGCCTTATAACGGGTCATTGACCTCATGGTCGATTGGTGCTCATGTTGGGACATCTCAGTGAATGTGAACAAAAGCGTTATGTTTCACGCTGGTGCTCAAGATGAAATGCATTATGAATCTGCTGAAGACTCTAGCCAATAAAAGTTCCGTGAAAGATTGTGGAACTCTATCAGACCGGATTTACAAGTCGCTTCCGTTCACTAATTCCAAATACTCTTGAAACTTAACAAAGCATTCGTAATTCCTGTTTTGGAATATGCATGTCCTGTATGGAGCCATTCTCTTGGAAGCACAAAGATAGCCTGGAAAACGTTCAGAGAGTTCTTACCAAACTTCTCTTTTACCGTTGTTTTCCTAACCCAGCATATCTACGTTTGCTTCCACATAATGACGATCGTTTTAAAACACTAAATCTTGAATAACTCTCACATCGAAGAGTCATTCACGATTTGTACACTTGCAATCAGGATTTACACAGGCGAAACTACGCTGAGACCTTCTAAATACTGGGTATTCCAGCCCAGTTATGGAAGGACTAGTGGATTTTCTATTTATTTACCAACAAGCGGTGGGCGGAATCGGTTTTGTACCTTGTTTGAAAATGAGTTTTTTGTTCATGCATCGAGAATGTTGGAAAAACAACCCAAAGAACTTTTAGCCTGTGAAAATAGTACATCAAACGTGAAATCAAGAAAAGGAACTTGAATGATTTCTGTCTTTGCGGGTAGAAATCGCTTACCAGTTGCTTCATGCTAGTTCATGCTCTTTCTTGCCAGCCATGTGCACTTCTCTGCTTTGCTAGACTTGTTATTCTACTAATTTGAAAATCATGTAGTTTCGAGCCCACTAGCAGACAACTTATGTCTAGTTCGATACAGCTTGCTAACTCTAACTACCTTTGCTTAAAGGCGTGTCCCACCAGACTGGAGGTATCTGGCTCCCGTAGTCATGTAAAAGTAGACCCCTTACCTAATCGATGTCTGAAGTTCGGAGCGGAAAAGGGGGTCTATAGGGGCCTGCAGGATCGCGAGAGTCGGACGTGCGTACGGCCATTGCGCCGCGCAAGTCGTATGTCACTGGGTCGTACTCGATTTAGGCTGGATAGGTGAGATTTTTTTGTTTTTCTTCTCATTTCTCGCCTTCTTTTCTTTTCAGGCGGCGAACATATGTTGGTGCAGAGGAGTTTAAGATCTAGATTAAGGTGAGGTGCAGGATTATGCTCAATACGGGCCGATATTGTGGACTTTTCACCCCTGCTTTGAAGAATGTTTAGTGATTATGTTCGATTTTTCGTCCTGCCTGCCCTGTTACGAAACTCCGTTTTATTTGCAACGTCTGTTCTACCTCATCTTGCATCATGCGCGTCATCACAATCATAATCATTGTCATCATCATCATCACAAGCAATATGCAAGATAAGGTAGAATAGACGGTAGAAATAGAACAGTTTGCTGTAACAGGGCAGTTCAGCAAGCCGTGTTGGGTGGGGCTTGCCAGTAACCCGCCAGCCGAACTTCCGGCTTGCTTTCATAAATATATAAAGATCGTTCTTTGCTGGCAAACGCGGGGGCATGGGTACTTCTTCTTAGAGTTAATGCAAGCGCGGGATTACGCGCGGGCATCCCCAAAACATGTCATGCAAGCTCTTCACATTATCGCTATAGTATTACTTTATATCGCCTGGAATGGGCTTGGGATGACTTGGTATTTTTTGTTACTTTGTGTTTTCATGTGACTAACACTTTGATGTTTTTGATTTGGGGGACGTCTCGTATGAATGAAATGAAATGAAATGAAAATTCAGCTAGTTATGAGTGTCTCTCTTCGGTAATACACCTTCTAGCAAAAGGAGTCAAAAATTGTAACTTTTCTACGAGAAGTTGCTTAAATCTCGCAATGTTATTGTATAGTGGACATGCCTAAGGCATTAATTAGGCGGAACAACAAGCTCCAGATTTTTTTTAGAATACACTTTCAATGTCTTGATACATTTATTGCAGAAGCTGATTGGGTTTTAGAGCACGAGGAAAATCCTTGTAGTTTACTCTCACGCTGTACGTCTATCCGGAAGAGATCTGCAGGGTGGGTATAGCCACTACTTGCCTGTGCGATACTCCAACTCGAATTCGGTTGCTTTGTAAAGATGTAGGCTATGACGGGAATGATGCTGCTGGACGAGGAGATAACCTTTCCTTTATTTTCATTTGAGTCACAGAATCTGGAATATATGGTTACAAGGAGACAAGGAACTGGATTCTGGCGCATGTCCGCAAACCTGTAGCCACTCATTAGCTGATTTTTTTGTGATTTGATTTCAATTCCTCCGTAATTGCAAGCAACATTAACGGACCCAACTTTGAGGCTTTTGATTGTTAATTTGACTGTCTTCTTTTCCGGATTCTTAATTCCTCCAAATAGAAGAAAATTTTTGAGAGGCTTTGTTCGACTTACAAACCTTGATCCAGTAGTAGCATTCCTTGAAGTCATCATGTTTTGTTGTGTCATCGTATCCCATAACTAGCTTGAATGTCTTTTTTTTGGAGCAGAACCGTTTCTGTTCTACCGCAATACTTTGCTTGCGGCTGAAGAAAAGTTAGTAAGTCGTATTTACTTACTTAGCGCAGCAACTTTTTCGTTGCATGAAACACCACCGTATCCACGTGGACAGATACATTTGGAGCAATCTCGAGGATTTGGGTAGCCACCATTCTTGCATTTGGCAGCGGAGCTAACAGACTTGCACTTCTCTGTGTTATAACATACTCCTTTTCAATGAGTGCTTGCAGCGGTTGTTAATCGGTTTGTGTAATTTTGTTCCACTGTTAACTACGGTGGGACAAAATTTGGTTCTCGTGCCCGCATTACAAGTATAGAAGGATAAATCAGTGGTGTGGAGTGATTACGAGTCTCTCTCGGGGATACTTTATATCGTGATGGTGTTCTTTTGTAACACATAGGACTACAACTACGTAAACGGATACATAAATGATGCTAAGATAATGCTAACGGTAATTCTTCTCCATTATTCATATATCCTGTATAAAAATGTGCAGATGTTCTATTCATGTTCACAAAAATTGCTAATCAGATTTTGTTCACTATTGCTTTTGGACCTTATTGCTGTTGTTGATGGAGTCCGGGAGACAAGCTACTGAATTGCTTTCGACTCACCAAGGCATCCGTAGTGTGTGTTCATAAGAAGAATGTCATAAAAGGACATAAAAGGTGAACCCATTGAGTGGAGGTAATTTTTATCGTTAGGAATCATCGATGGCATGGACGAGTCTTTAGCAAAACTGAAAATTGAACTTGTTTCGTTCAACGATATTTATGACGATGCGCCTACTCGTATGCTCCTTAGTGCATTCTGCTACCAAAGTCATAAGGGATGTTATAAGTGGGTGCGTAGCAAGTGTTACCCAGGCAGCCGCCTGGTGCCGCAGCCAGCCGCCAGAGCTGGCACCAACGCCGCGGCTGAGCTACCGTAAGCGCGCTCTCGTCGTCCGCAATCTCTCGCAGAGAGATTTTCGCAGCAGCCTCGCACCTCTCGCGCTGAGGTGCGAGAATTCCCTCAAAGATCGAGCTACTGCCGCATATTATTAGGTTGGCCCGAAAGTTCTTTGGCACCATTTTCAAAAATTCATAACTTCCAATTTTTTGAACCGATTTGACTACGTTTATTTTCATATGAAAGAGTAAGTCATGCTCTTTATAATGACTTCTTAGCTGCTAACTAATGATCATATATTGCACAGATAGGAGCGATAGAAGAAAACTGGTCAAAATTTGAATTTTCTGTGTAGGGTCATAAAAAATCGGAAACTTGCAACAAAAATCGGAGCAGTAGGTATTGTAGGTTATTTCACCAGCTCTTCCTAATTGCGCAAAGTTTACGCTGATTGAGCGCCTCTACGAAAAGTTATGATTTTTGAGCAAGCAATACAAAAGGGCAAATTCAATTTATTTTGGCATTTTTCAGGGAAATCATATCTTTTCATAGAGAGCAACACAGCGGAAAATTTGTAGCTTATTAGTAATATATATTACAAAAAATATACAAAAACAAAAAAAGTTAAATAAATAAATTAATGGAATGATTACAAAATTAAATTGAAAGCAATATCGTGGAGTAAGTTCGTAAAAAATATAAAATAGATTGTTGAATGGTTTTTCGGCATAATTCGTTATGACCTTTGGGTCAGAAGACTTGAACAGAAATGAACAGCATCCCCGAAGAGTTAAGAATTTTACCGGATGGGGAGGATTTCTTACAAATTCAATTGCCAAATATTCATATCTATTATTCCGATGTTTTTAACATCAACCTTGAGATAATTGTCGCGGTCGTATCTCGTTTGAACATGATGCAAACCCAATGCGTGAGCAAGCTCGTGCGAAGCTTTCCAGTACTAAGAAAATATTGAGGGTAGCGCGGTACATGATCAAGATTTACTCAGAAAAAAGTTAAAGACACAGAGAAAAAAAGGGGGAAAAATCAGAAACCTCCACATTACTTAGCAGTTCGTCTTGCTGCATCGCTTACTGCTACTTTTAAATTGAAACGTTTTCTTTTACCAGCTGCGTCACTGCTACTGATCTTTCCAGGCTGCTCTATAATCTCAAAAAACATACCATTGTACATCCGGGATTGTTTAGAGAAAGATTTTGCAATCGATTCAAGTGTCCGATGTTAGAACTGCATCCCGTGCCTTCATAGATTACTACTCGTGCACTAGCTAAATGCAATAATTTTCACTTATGGTCGGGATCTTTCTCATTGATGCTAACACACCACTGCTTTTTTCAATCATGTCAATACATGTGTTGTCGTGCCAAAATTTTGCACCTTTTCGAGCAATAGCCTTTGTTGCAGCACCTAGCTCCTTTATCAACTCTTCGGCTTGCTCTCTGTAAAATTTTGCTGCAGTAGCTTTGCGCTACTTGGCTAATGATCATTACTCAGTCAAAACTATATCTCCTTGATAAAGAATCTCCGACAATCCATTTTCCTCGTTTACTTCTGTAATCGTGTCACTTTTGGCCACCTTAGCCGGTCTTATCGACTGAAAAAGAACTTTTAACAGAGTTCAGCGTCTTGCAGAGCGTTACCTTGAGTTTCTGATCCAGTAGAGTTTGCTGTTGAGGGCTAAGCTTTGGCACCTTAAGGTGACTTGCAAGCCTATCACGAATTGCCATTAAACGATCCACATCTAGGTGCTGATGTTCTTATGTTTCGACATTACGTCTGTTGCATTCTCACCGCCTCCAGTTTAGAAAGTGTCTTTTTGAGCTTTCTCACTTTTTCCCAGTTAAGCAAACTGGCGTTCACGCAAGCGACTAGAAGTAGGAGGCAGAGTGCCCCCATCCTGAAGAAATAAGTTATTAGACAAGTGGAGGGAGTCACAGGAGATGTAAACGTTTCTGACCTGCATGAAACTGCTCGAACTTTTATACGCACGATCATGATCAGATATAGAGCATATGACTTGTAGAAATCAGGAGCAGCTATGGAAATACCCGCGAAATGTTTTTAATCGTATGTCTTCCAACATTCGGCGAAAGAGATCACGTTCGAGCCCGCATGTTTGTGAAGCTGCCAACACAGAGCAACCAGCTTGACATTGTTGCCTTTGAGAAGGGATTGTTTCTATCAGCTACATGCCAATCTTGGGAACATTAACCAAACTGCAAGCTTATGTCCAGGAATTGTAAGTGGAGAAAAGTGCCGATCTATAACAAGATGTCATCGACGTCACTGTGTAGCTGTCAACATCGGGTACTAGGTAGCGTAGTTTGATGTATGCGAGCTTATTGTTGACCTGTCAACAAAACAGTCACGCTGTCAACATCTCCCTCAATCTTGCTGAGATCCCCCCCCCCCCAGGAAAATTCTAGTCATGAATGACTATTTATTGGATCTACTCCATAAACGTGCGCTTGCGATTTCCATTATTTACACGAAAGAAAGAAATTGTTTGTGAGTGCAAAACGTCTTGTTCATTGGTGCGAGGACGTGTGCCGGTCCTCATGATGAATTGGGTGAATCAATCAGTTATCAGGCTCATCTTCAACAACTCCGATATCAGTTTCCATCTGAAGCTATAATAGTTGCGGCGCATGGTAGGAATTTTGTAATAGACAGCGGTGCCTTAAATATATTTTAGGCAGCGCGTTTCTGTCTTTCCAGTGCACATGCTGCAAACGCTGTAACTGCGCGCGATTCTCTAAGTCGTGAGACTATGTCCAATAATACTCATTTTTGAAATTTCTTCTTGTTGCTTACATATGCGATGGAATTCAGTGGAGCTTCTGCCTACACAAGAGGCTTCGCAATCATCATCAAGTTATTTATTTATTTATTTATTTATTTATTTATTTATTTATTTATTCAGCACTTCGGCATGCTATCAATCCAAAAAACAGCATAACACGAGGATACTTTATTTTCTATAATTTTTGACCATTTTATTAAATTCATCATGGAAATTGCTGCTAGATTTCATGCACAGTAACATCGTTCGTAACTAAGCAGTCAGCAGTGAGTCTCAACAACCATGCATTCAAACAATCTGTTGAATGCAGAAAAGAAATATAAGCCTTGTGCAAACATCAAGTGCGTTCTATGGTAAATTTTTAGATATAAAATTGATATGTTTCTCTTCTGCAAAATGGGCGCACCTGTGGCAATAGAATAGTTTTTGTCCTGGGAACGTTTAGTTATGAAATTTCTATCACGTTACATTAGGGGATATAAAATGCCCGACGAGGAAACAAGGCTTGGAGATAAAGAACCCACTCAAGTATGTTCAATTGGAGTTAAGGCTACCTACCGTAGCCGCACCTCTCCTATGTCAGATGTTTTGCGGAATCCCTCCTGGAGCTTTGGTCTCTCTTGCAGAAGAAAAGGGGTTTTTACTTATGAATCCAATAGTCAGAGATTACTACCATAAAGATTTCTTCGCTGATAATTCCCTTGATTTAATATGATAATTAGCGTTTTGTAGAATAGGTTGAATAGCACAAGTTTTTTTTGCCTTTCTGTTATACTTGATTTACTTTGTCACAAACAAGTTTACTGTCTGATTGGTCTGAATGAATGGCATAAAAATTTCTACCAAGTCAGACCATCATACGTGGGAGGAAGATGAGAAGAATGATTGCAAAAAGTTTTTTTCAGTGACTAAACACTAATTTAAGTCAGAAGAGGCCACACAGAGCCCGATTAGTGGTTGATCGCGCCATCCCATGGACGACCTCACCGGTTCCAAAAGTTTTCCTTTCATTTTATCAGGAAAGAAGACAAAAAGTCTGCTGGCTTGCTGGCGAACAAAAGCCGCAAAGTTGCCGATTTTTACGGGTACAGCTCGATGTCCGCGCCCGTTCGCGCCGCTTAGCCAATGTACCCTGATTAAGCTGAATTGGCGATTAAAAGGCGAGGCGTCGTAGCTTAAAGGCACTGTCCGTCCTAAGTGAGGGTATTGAGCTTTTGGCAGCATATAATAGTAGGGCCCTCTATCAATCCAATGCCCAAGTTGCGGCGCAAAATGCTGCTTCGGAAGCGAGAAAATCGCTTGGAATAGCAAATATGCACAAGGACCTCCATCCAACTCCGCCCTCCCCCATCCATTCGCGCCCATTTGTGAGCGCCCATCCAATCACCGTTCCGGAAAGCGGCCTGTGGGTTCTCCGGAACGGGGATTGCCGGGGTTTTCGAGCATTCTCGACCTCACATTTGAAATCAGGGACATAAAAAGGCCCTAAAACGACAAAAACGTGGAAGTTGAAAATCTGGGTGGACGGTGCCTTTGAAGGCTAGATAATGATCAAGAGCACGCGCGCGACAGAGACGCAGACTGCGCCACGGGCGCGAGAAGCTTCGATTAGGACACAAAGCTCCGCCTTCCAGCTGCCAAGCCAGCTGAATAGAAGGTTAGTTGCGCTTTTCCGAAAAGTAGACTTTAGGTCGTCGTCTTGAAAAAGAAATCCTCACTGGAACATTACTGAAAAATTAGTTGTATCTAAATATGTCAAATATAACGTCGGAGTGGAGGCATCACCAAACATTGGGAACTCCGTGTTTGAATAAGAAGCCTGCCTCTTGTAAGGTTGTGTTCTATCCTGAAGAGCCAGTGGAGGACCGAAGAAATTGCGCGTTCCTCCCATACCTGAGAATGGGTTGCAAGATTTTTGAGACTATTTGCATGTATGATAAAATTGCGCAAGTGAAAGTATGGGCGCGGAAAAGTTTTGGGAAGCATCCAAAAAAAAAAAAGATTGGAGTACGTG